GGCTGAGGCAGGAGAATCGCTTGAACCCAGGAGGCAGATGTTGCAGTGAGCCGAGATCATACCACTGCACTCCAGCCTGGATGACAAGAGTGAAACTCTGTCTCAAAAAAAAAAAAAAGGTCCATCTTGTTATTAAAGATTTTAGTTAAATGGTTTCTACTATCTGTCTTAATAATATGTCATGTTTAGTTATAGAAAATTTCCAACATTCACTAATGCAGGGAGAATAAGTCAAATGAATACTCAGCATCCAATGCCAAGCTTCAGAATTTTCAGTATGATGCCAATCTAGTTTTTATCAATTCCACTTTCTACCATCTTGGGGAGCAGGGGAGTGGGAAGTATGAATATTATAAGCAAATCTAAGGTATCATTTTATTTATAAATACTTCCAATAGGGAGACTTTTTAACATAACCATGAAGTCATTATGTTGTCTAACAACATTAACGATTCCTTAGTATCTTCTAATGGCCCAATCCACGTTCAAATTTCTCAGTCTCAAATATGTCATTTTTTTCCTAGCCCTCAGAATGTCTTTTTATAATTAAATCACGATCCAAACAAGATCCATCTTCATTGGTTTGAAATGGTTTTTAAGTCTCTTGTAACCAATAACAGTTCTCTCTCTTTGCTCCGCCCATTCTTTCATGTCTTTTATTTCTTAGAAAAACTAGATGCTTTATAAAGAATTTCTAATATTATAGGATTGTAAGATTGTTTCTTAGTATCATTTCACTTGTTTCTCTACACATGCGTTTTCTGTTACCGGCAATTAGATTTACAGGCTTGATTAGACTCAGGTGTAATGTTTTTGGTAAGAATATTGCAGAGGGTTCTGTCTACTTCCTACTGCCTCACATCAGGAGATGCATAATTTCTGGCTGTTCCACTGATATTCAGACTGAACAGTGAGTTCAGGTATTGAGTCCAGTCATTATGAAGTTTCTATTCAATTTTCACCGAATAGTTTTACCATTCACAGGTGACTGCTGTCAGATCCACGGTATAGTTTGGATGTTTGTCCCCTCCAAATCGCATGTTGAAATGTCATCCCCATTGTCGGAGGTGGGGCCTGGTGGGAGGTGTTTGTTTGGGACATGGTGGCAGATCCCTCATGAATGGCTTGGTGCCCTTCCTGTGGTGAGTTACTGCAAGATCTGATTGTTTGAAAGAGTCTGGGACCTCCCTGTGCCTTGCTCCCTCTCTTGCCATGTGATATGCCTGCTCCCCCTTCACCTTCCACCATGATTACAGACTTCTTGAGGGCCTCATCAGATGTAGATACCGGCACCATGCTTTCTGTACAGCCTGCAGAACCATGAGCCAAATTGAAACTCTTTATAAATTACCCAGCCTCAGGTATTCCTTTATAGCACTGCAAAACAGACTAATACGATCCATTAGTTCACTAGGAGTTGCAAAATGGTGATTTTTCTAATTATATTGTTACTTAAGCATTTTTCTTTTCTATAGAGAAGAACTTTCCCTTTTCATCTATTTGGAAATTCACATATGAAGGGCAAAATAAATGTTTAATTCTTTCCCTTTTTCTTTCCTAAAATGAATTGGTGCTCTAACAACCTTCAAAAGGTAACAATAAGAGTTTTTTAAATGAGTATCATTTTAAACTCATGGCTTTTTACATACTTAATGCTTCAGTTCATTCCAGTCAGTATTCTTTTTGATGTTCAACCTGCCCCATTTTTAGGCAGTGGGGTCCCTTCCAGGCAACTCCTCTTTTTCTGACGATCCTCATAGTCCTGGGTAGCTGCTTCGCTTTCTCTCATAGATATCCTGGGTGCATCTTATAAACCTTTCCTGCCCCAAACCGGAAGAGGCCCATTATCTAAGAAACCTAATCTTTTCTGGAGAAAATTCTATTTAGAGAGCGCGATCTGGGTAATCGCTGCTCGTTGTACTGGGCTGTCACAGACTAGGCCTTTTCTGTACACAGAGCTGAAAATTAAATTTTTTTAAAAAAGAATAAAGTTAATTCTGATATTTTCAATTTGAATCTATTATTAATGAGTTTTAGTTTAACTTTTTTATTGGTATCTCTTTTTTTCCATGTTTCAAATCGAAGTGCCTACTGATATTAACATTATATACTTAATTTATCCCATAGTGTACTATCACAGTGTCAAAAAAGCAATACTAATATTATTAACAATAACAAAAGAATTACTGAATACTGTTAAGATATATCTCACTAGGGGCGTTCAGTCAAAAAACTGCTTTAAAGTCACTTGAAATAGTTCCTTGGGTGGTTATGTCACCAACTTAATATGTAGGTATATTCATTTATTTAAGTTTGTTTCCAACTTTTAGGGGCTGGTTGCCTTGCTTTCTTTTTAAATTTAATTTTGTTTTATAATTATGTAAAGCACTTAGTGGTTCCAAAATCAAATATAGCACAAGGTACATTCAGAGAATTCTGGCTTGCCCTGTATCCCCTCTGCCCTGTTCCCTCCCCTTAAAGGAAACACTTTTTTTTTTTTTTTTT